TTGTTTTGCCAATCCGGAAATGCTTTCGGTTCGCCATCGAAACCGGAAGTTTTTACCGCGCTTTTTAATATTTATTCCTCTCAAACGATCCTTTCCGGTCTTTCGGTTCTCTGGTTTCCGCCGCCACTTCCGAAACGGAAGTGGCGTGATTTTCGGTAGGACCCGATCGGAAATGAGTATCGGCGCGAGAAAACTGAATGCCCCGCCCTCTTTTCTGTTAGTGGTCCATCCCGGACTCTAGGTAATTTCCGTTTTCTTCGTGTGGAATATTCACATTGTTTTTATGATATTAGTACTTTTGCAAAGTTCCGGACAGACAAACTTTCGGTTCACAATTACTTAATAATGTTTCCCGGATTTTTCTTGTTTATTTCAATATCACTTTAATTGAAAGATTAGATAAAATTCAACTATATTCTCCACAATTTTCGGATTTATAGCGGGTGTCGATAACGATGACGTAACAATATCGCGAGAATGTTTCCCCCGAAGGAAGGAGAGATATGGGAGGAGGAGGATAACTTCCTATCCCTCCGTCTTTAAAATCCATCCCCGGCGGGAGCTTCCCCGGCACTTTTCGTTTGTCCGGGGTGGACTCCGCTCCCGCTAACCCCCCCGACTTACGCAGTAGCTCGGACCGTTTCCCGCGAAACGGTGGAAGACGATCGATAATCCTATATCGAGGTAATAAACGACGGATACGGACGAAGGGGGTGGCGAAACCCGATAACGCAACGAAAGAAAAAAACCGACGAAGAAAAGGAAAAAATTCGACTCTTTTTTGTGCCCTAATAACAAAAGCCGGTTAATCGGACGACCGAAACTGTCCGTCCGATTAACCGCTATTTTCCAAAAAAGACGGTTAATCCAATACAAACAATGATTCGACCATCTACGTCTACTTGTCGAAACGATCGTTCGACTAGGCTATTCGCGCGGGGGTCTTTCTGTCAGGGGATAGATACCGTCGTCCTTACCTACTTATAATAGCGCACGTGAGATTCAGACAAATTTTAACTAGGGCCCCACGTATAGTGTTCTTCGGGGAACTCTTGGTGGAATCTATCGGTATCCTCATTCGTTTTCTTAACGCAAGCTCTAGCGGGTTAATTAATTAAGTTCTGCGCTGCGCCAATGCGCTCCGCGGCACATCGTCAATCCCGGGTCCCCAGATATGGCCCGAATTTAAATTTCGACATTCTTACTAAGTAACGAGTGTTTATAAAAGATTGGTTTGGAGCCCCTCGTCGGTAGGTACCCCGGGCAATCGCTCTTTTTGCCCGTAGGATAATGCGCTAATGTCACTTTCCTCCGTTTTATCTTAAAAAAAAGAATAAACAAGCGCGTAACTTCGCCCCTTTTCCATTTTCTTCCCCGTATTCGAAAAAGTCCACGCCAAACCCCAACCTCTTCTAGGAGATACGGGCCAATACTTATCGTTTCTTCCGGTTCCCCGAGCGCGTGCTCCTTTCTTCTTCTGGTAAAAGACGGGAGAAAGCATTAATTCGCTCGATTAGCTTCTCCCGCCGTAATCGGCCTAATTACGGCGGGAAAAGGGGGCGCGGAAGGTGGAACCCCGCCGGCGGCTCCGCCCTCGTCCTTGACCCGTTCCCGCCACCCGGCTCGTCCGCTGGATATCTTCCCCCCCTCGGCCGCGGTTTAAAAATAACCGGACATTTTTATTTTTCCGGCCAATTTGGCCTTAAAAAAACGATTTAGGCGTTACACGCGAACTTTTTAATTTTTAAGTAGAAACGAAATTGCAAGAAAACCTTCCTCCTCCGAAGGAGGGTGGAACGGAACCTCGCGTATCTTTTAATTAACATAAATAAAAAAAGTTTCGGGTCGGGTACTAACACTCTTCTTTCTTTTTTTCTTTGCAGGTAAGTTCCCTCGTTTGACTTTCTTCTTGGTGTTCCGCTAGAAACCGTCCTTCCCCCGCAAGATATTCCGAAATTAGTGGAGAGGAATTCGGAAAACACATTCCGAATTTCTCCTAATCGCCAGCGAAATCTAATTTGGAAAAAAGGCGTACCCGTTAACGACGGACACTCCGCTGACTGGGATATTCCAGCGGCGATTGTTCCGGGAGAAGCGATTTAATTGGGACTGCCATCTTTCGGGAGGAAGAATGTATTCGGATGCACGTCATCCTTTAGATTAGGAAGACAGACGACGGACAGACGGGCACAAACGGTAGTCGATTCGGGCGAAGATAAAAGACGACGTCGTTCGGACGCGCCCGGTTAACTCTGAAAACAAGATGGCGATTAGATTAAACGAATCGACCGTAAAAGCTTCCGGGTGTACTTTGATAAAGTTATTTTCTGCGCCGAAAACAAATTTAGAGACGGAAACGGTCGGTTTAATTTCGTAAACATCGGGCGCATAAAACGTTACGATCGACCGTAACGGCTGGTTAGAGCCACGGTTGGGATTAGTGTCGTTACGGAGAGCGTCGGAAAGCTTACAAATTAGAGATTTTCGCTATAAATGGGCATCCACTCGGAGACGGATGCCTCCCTCCTTCGACCATAGCGGTCGTACTCCTACGCGCGGATCTTCGTCCTATTATCTTCCAAAACCAATAAGTAAATGGAATCTCCGACTCTCGATCGGTGGGCGGGCGAACGGTAGCGCGACCGCGACCCCTTTCGATGCTTTTCGAAACTAAATTAGTAATCCAATGAGAAAAATTAGCGCCCTCTCATCGGTAAAAAATGCCCGATCGTCTCGCTTCCTGGCCGACAGACGGAGCCACACGCTAAATTTTGTCAGTATAAACCGGAAACGGTCTGGAAAACGCGGGGTGGAAGGGGCAAACTTCCGGCCGTTCCCGAAACCGAGACGACGATCGAAAAAAAGAGCGGGTAATTTAGATGCGAACGGGTGAAATTAAAATAAGTAGGAGAGTTCTCGGTGAAGGATCGATGGAATCGGAAGATGAAACGCTTTAATTGAAAAAATCGAAGCCCGTTTTCTCTAATTCGGACAAATGTATCGGAAAAGTTTCTCTTCCTCCTTTAATTAAACGTCGGAGTCAATTTGTTTTCGCCCTGGAAACGTTTCTTTCTTTATAGAAACGAGATATTATTTTCGTATCGCGTTTGACGAGAAAAGAAACGTGCGAATTAAATATAGAACGAGTCACACGTCGCGGACAAATACGCAACTTTGGAACGTCTAAGAAGACGAAGGGGGACGAGGTTATACTCTTCGACTCTGCGGACAAGTTTAAATATCGACGCGTAGGCAAACTTTAGTAATAAACACCGAATCCGGTCCACTTTGGTGGGTCGTTCTTTCGCCTCCCGCGCGTGGGTCGATGGGGCTTCGATTACTATTACTTATCGATTAGTTACTATATTTTGAAAAGTAGACCGAGTCGTCGTCGGGTCTCGAAGAGAAACGAGTCACAATATAGTTTTATTAACTTCAAAAAATACGAAAAGGGACCGTCCGCACTGGAAGGGAGGGAGGGTGTTACGAAAACTTGGACAAACCGGGACGACGGGGGGAGGGAAAGTAAAAATGCGGACGTAATTTACGGACGGCCCCAAAAACTACCAGGAAGAAAGCATCCCCCTTTTCCGTTTCCGGTCATAATTTGAAGTTATATAACCCCTGGACCCAGAAAGTTTCGTCCCTGGCGGCTTGGGATATTTGGATTCGAGTGCCGAAATTTCGAAACAGTCGAAGGGGAGACGGTTATCAGCCGATCCAATTGACTCGGGTGCTCGAACCCATTAATTTCCGCTCTTCCTCCCGATAAAGATCCCGTTCCGTCGCCGAACAAAATAAAAGAAAGGTTTCCGTTTCGGTAGCGTCTCTTTAAAAAGGGAGGCCGGCGCGTTTCGTAAGTGGCACTTTTTAAAAAGCGCCACCTGAGAAAGGAGACCGATTTAAGACCGGCGACGAATTTCTCTCCAGTCCCATGCCAAATACGTAGAAAAAATGCAGCGTCGTCGCTGTCGAAAACGCGTCCTTACGCAACTCCGATTTCCGGAAGTTGGAATAATTTCGGTAAGGACCGGAAAAGACCAGATTTTCGGACCCGGTGGAAGAAATCGGACGCACGGGCACCACCGGGCGGCGGTCATTTCCAACTTCGAAATCGAGGAGAGGTGCCCTAATGGAAAAATTACGATTCGACCCGTCCCCCTCTTCCGGTCTTTGCAGAGTTTACGAAATGCGGTGGGTGGCTCCATCTGTCGGCCTGGGAGGGAGTCGCGGCGCTCGTCTCTACCCACGCCGAACGGCGGAGGCGGAGCGCGCGCCGTTCGGCGACGAAATATTTGCCGCCTTGCCAAAGCCGCCGACGGAAAGTGGCGACCTCCGGGGGGAGAATTCGTCCGGAGAAAAATTCGAGCGAGTTATTTATCGCGGAAAAAAATAAAGAGGACGAAAATAGAAGAGGTCGGAAGGACAAGGAAATTTCTGTCCGACAAATTTCATTCTATTCTCGACGTCTCGCGCTTTATTCGCGGAATAAACGAGAGCGTCTTTCCGATAATCGTCGGTCGCGCACTCTGTCGGTCCGAATCGGCGGAGGGCGGTCTATGTCCGGTGGGAGGGGCGCGTGGCAGACGGGAGAAAGAAAGAGACGGGCTATTTCTCCGGCCCGACGTCCCCCTTCCGAAAACGCCGGCCGGAGAGCTTCTGCCCTTAATTATCCCGGTGGCGCGAAGGACGAATGAATCGACTCCGGAAATCGATGCTCCCCTTCTCCGCTTCCAGTCCCGACGACCTTCTTCCGGCGAAGCGTAAGATGCGGTCCACTGTTTCCGGGCAGGGAGACGAGAAAACGGAGAAAAGGGCGGGGAGCGGGCGGCGAAAGAAAAAACTTTGGGTGGAAAACGGCCGGGAGGAAGGATATTTATAGCAGCGTCCCCGGTCCGGACGCCGTTCGGCGGCGCGCCATCTCGCGCCAGTACCTCACCCCTCCGTCCGAAGATGGTCGGCGCCGCGGCCGGGTGGTAGCGCGATCGCGACTGCGCCGCTGCACCGGCCACACTCGGCCGGGTTTTCCACGTCGCGCGCGATCAAAGGTCCCTGCGTTGGATTATTTCGGCCGTCGCATCGCACCGGTCCGGACCGGAATCGCTTCGTGCGGAAGATGTGAAGCGTTGGTCGCCTGTGGCGGTGGCGCCGTCTCCTGGCGTGAACGGACGCCGTCAAGCCATCACGCACCGTCTCGTCGCGTGGGTGGATGCGCGGAGGTCGAAGGGATTTGACCTCCGCCAGCTCGACCAGTTATGGCGGCCGTGGGAATATGGTCTCAGGCCGGGGCCTCCGGCGCTTCCGAGAGTCAAATTCCTCACGACTATTTACACGAGTGCCACTACCAGTAAGTGTCTGTCCGTTTATCTGTCTAACTCTTTCGGACTTCCGCCGGCGCGCCAACAGGTGGCCCGTCCTCCGGAAGTAGCGGGCGGCGGGACCCGGGCCGCCGGTTCGGGCCGGTCGGAAGGACGACGCGTCTCCTCCGCCGGGAGAGCGCGCTTCCTTCGATCCGCCGCGCGCGCCTGGAACCGGCCGCGTTCCGTCCGATGGAAAAATTCGGAAACCGGGCCGGAAAGGCTTCCTTCTCCGGACGGAAATTCGGTGGGGGCAGAAGGTCCGAACGGCCGCGCCGGACACACGCACAACAGGTGCGCCGGAGATCGATGCGACGTCCGTCGGGCGCGACGCCGCCCGTCGTAGCGACGACCTCAACGCCCGCGCGCCTACCGCTCCGAAAATGCGCTTTCTTGGACGGGAAGCCGAAAATATCTTCTTCCGGCGTCTCCGCCGGAGGAGGGCGGGGGGACGGACTACCCCCGTCGAGCGCTCGACGGGATCTGCCGCATCCGGGAAAGAAGGGAAAAACACTTTCGACGCCGATGGGCACTTTTCGTTGGGTAAATGCCGACCGAAAGACGGTAAACGTGGCGGTGGGGAAGATCGCGTCGACGTCTCCATGGCAACCGTCCGGGTGTAAATCCGGCCGTCGAGTCCGGAGAGCCGGGCGGACGGGACGAATCGGCCGCCGGAAGCGGAACCGGGTAGACCGGAAGTTGTTTTCCGTTAAACCGGGGAAAGGGGCCGTCTACGCTTCCGTCATCTTCCAAAAAAATCGCTCCCGTCCGAAGAGCCAGAGGGCGCCGTCGGCATTAAGACTCTTCTCTTATTTACGGGAAGCGGAAACGAGGGAGGGACGGGGGCCACTCCCGAAGGATCCGAAACGGTTACGTGGCTTTAGCGCCGGACGTTCGCGTGACGATTTAAGCGGCGGTGGAGAATACGTTATAAGCGTTGCGCTCGTTTCGCCCCTTTTCCGTCCCTGCGCTGTTAACGACGACGATTGCGTCGACGCATAAGGTAAAAGAACGACGGTTTCGTTAGTAAACACGGGGACGGAGGAAGTCCCCGGACCGTCGAATAACAGTCGAGGAAAACCAGACGATAATGGGAAAGCGTCTTTGATTCGACGCCGTCCACCCCTATGCGGCGGCTTGGCCGCGCGTTTTCCGAACGCGGCGCGTTGCCTTCCTCCGGGAAGACGACGGTTCCCGACCGAAAACCGGTTTTCGTCGGAATTTCCGCCCGATCGGAAACGAGGCCGTTTCCGAGTGTATGTGGAAATAGACCCGAAGCCCTCTGTCGTCGTCGTTTAGAACGAACCGAAGAAGACGACGTTTCCGAAATTGGAATTTCCTGGAAAATAACGCAGGGTTACGAATTGCCCTTATAGCGGGTCCCTAAGCGGAACCAAGAGCGTTAAAGGACGATTATCGAACCGTTTTTCCTGGGGTTTTACACTCTTTCCCCGAATTTCTTGGTCCTCCCTCCCTCCCTCGGCCGGACGTCCTTTTTTAAAAGATCAATGGGAGTCGAAGCGTTGGGTTTCTTTTCGTTGGGCGGATCTCTCCCGACGGAAGAAACGCGCCGGTCCGATCCGTGGCCGGAAATTCTCCGATTTCGCGTTTGCCGCGCGGCACGGAAGGAAGACGGCCGAGTGGACCGGGGGGAGGGCGATCGAAAAGACCGGTCCCTTCGGCCGCCGTCCGTCGCTCGGCGTACACAAAGGTCTCCATAACAACGCGCGAAAACAAAACCGGACGGGTCGAAACCCGTCTTTCTTCGGACACGCCAAAGGGTGTCCGAAGAAAGACGGCTCCCACCCCGCGAGAACATTTCGTCCGAACGGATTCCTCCCACATATTCCTCCTTCTCATCTTCCTCCTCCGTCGGTGGCGCCGACGCGTTGGATACCTCGTCCTTTGACGCAAAATCTGCGCGGAGACGAATTCGTCGTGGCGCCATCTGTTAGGACTTTATCCAAATGGCCCGGCCGAGTATTTGGGTGGGAAAATTCCGCCAAAAGAGCCGGCCGATACAAGAACGGACGATAAAACTAGAAAGTACAACGTAATTACACGCATTCCGCTTATTTAATTCTCCTCCTCTCTTACGTCAAAAGATCTCGTCGTCCCGATCGATGGGGCTATATCTTTTGGCTAGGGAAGTTCTTAATCCGGAAACGACGTCGTTCCGAAACGGAAGTCGTGTTTTTTAGGAGGTAGACCTCGGAGAGTAATTTGTAACGAAAGGAAGTTCTTTTATTCGCATTCCACCGTTCGTCATCACACGCGCCTTGCCGTCCAGGAAAACAAACCCATTCGGTCGGTGGCGCCCTCGGCCGCCTAACGACTGAACTAGCGATTTTTTCAATTAATGCTCGTTCGACCTAGATGGCGCTTCCGCAAAAACTTTCGCTGGACGCCGCCGCGGTCGAAGACGAAAAACTTTTTATCGTCAGTTGGCCCGCCTCCCGGTGTTTCCACGATTATATTTGTATTCTTTCGTCTTTGGGAAAAAATAAAAGGCTCCGAACGACGTCGTGCAGCTTAATCTTCCCAGCCGTTTCCTTTGTTTTCTTTTATTTTTATTATTAACCGACCGCTGGTGTTACTATTTATAAGTGTTAAGTCCGATAAACTTCTCCCGACTCTGTCGCGCTTGCTGTCGAGACGTTAGCTCGCGCTCGGGAGGGGTGGTTGCCAGGGCGGTACCCCGCTTCTTCCCGTTTTTCCGTTTCTTCCGTAGGAAGTCACTCCCGGTGTGGCGGAATCCAGAAGAAACTCGGCGGAGGGAAGGGGTGGGCCTGTGCCGGGGGAGGATTCCGAGGCATTATCGACGGGCGTGCGGACCTTTCCGTCCTTGGACACGCCCTGCGACGAGAATTCGGTTGGCGTCTGGCCCGTCTCCAGCCCTTTTTCTGTTCTTCGCCCCGATCGATCGCTCGGCTGCGCCGGTCCCCTCCCCTTCCGCCCGATTCCGCCGCTCCCCCGACTCGAGTCGGTCGAGAACACCACCCTCCGTGCGGCGGAGGGAGGGAGGATGGCCCCTTTCCCGTTTTCGGGCGGTCGGCCCGGCCGCCGGACCGCAGAATAAAAATAGAACGGCGTCGGAGGATCTGGCGCGTCGGATCCGCTCGTGCCAAATTTCTCGCCGATCGATGACGGTCGGCCGCGTTGCGCCGGAATCTCTCGCCCGAATTGCCCCCTTTCGTCCCCCTTCGTCCCGCATTTTATTTTCCGACTCCTCCGCTCGTCGCCGGAGAATTCCCGACGATAAAGCCGTACGGTTGCCTTTCCCATAATCCTTTTAGTCTGACCCCTTCGTTCCGAGTAGCCACGGGTCGAGATCCCCGAGACCTTAGGTGATTGACGAAATACCGATTCGATGGCGTCCGCCGAACGGCGAAAATCGAAACAACAAAAAACGGCCACGAAGTGAGGAGTGACCTTCGCCCTCCCGAAACGTTTCTCTGGCGACGGCAGCGCCGTCCGAAAACGAATCGCGTGGCGGAAGTGACGAAAATCGATCGCGACCGCGGCGATCGATTTTCGTCACTTCCGCCACCGGACTCGTTTTCGACAAATTACGTAGCGACCGGAAGCGCCGTGTGCCAGAGTACCGCACGTGATCGAGTTTATTTACCGTCGAATCGGAGGGTTTCTTCCGGAGGATGACTTTCCTCCAGACAAAAATCGCCACGGGCCGGGCTTTCCCCTGGGCCCGGTGGTCGGAGGGGTGGAAGGGGGACTGTGGGAGACGGAGGGAGGGGCCGGGAGTGGGGCCCGATGCCCGTGCCGGGCAACGCGCCTCGGATCTCCCGCCCAAAAGGGTACGGGCGTACCCAGAATTCCCGGCGGCGGAGCATCTTCCGGCAATGCAGCAGTGGCGATCGATGGCGGGACGGTAGGTGGCGGCGGGTGGCCTGACGGGCCGGGCCCCGGCCCGTCCGGTTCCGGAAGTGGTGGACTGCCGAGGCGAGGTAGGTGCGCGCCACGTCAGCCGGTACCCGGATCCGACCAGCCAGTGGCATCCGGCCTGCCGTACCCGTACCCGGTGGCGCGCGCGCAGCTACGTCACCGTCATCCGGGCCACTTTGACCGATCGGTGGCCAGACCCCCGTCCCCCCGTGGTCGACAGCCGGCAGAGGCAGAGTTGGCGAGTGCGGAACGTGATGCTTGCACCGAGTGCTGCGGGCCCGGCCATAGGAGCGTGGGAGGTGCATGCGTGATGCGAGATGGAGATGGAGGCCGCGTGCGACGGGCTGGCATTGCCCTTCTCCACCATCGACAGTATCCTTAACGAAAAGGTTCTCTTGTCTCCTTGCAGGTCGTTGCACAAGCTGACAGGTGACGAGGTGGGGTACCCGGAAGGCTTCGGACCGGACACCGCCATCAGCATCCCCGCCACCTTGTCCCACTTCGAGCCCATCCCCCACGACCACGACTACTGCGAACGCGTGGTCATCAACGTCAGCGGACTTAGGTTCGAGACGCAGCTGAGGACTCTCAACCAGTTTCCGGACACCCTGCTGGGCGATCCGGCCCGACGCATGCGCTACTTCGATCCGCTGAGGAACGAGTACTTCTTTGACCGCAACCGACCCAGTTTCGACGCCATCCTCTATTTCTATCAGAGTGGTGGGAGGTTGAGGAGGCCCGTTAATGTGCCGCTGGACGTCTTTGCGGAGGAGATCAAGTTCTACGAGTTGGGGGAACTGGCATTCAATAAATTCCGAGAGGACGAGGGCTTCATCAAAGAGGAGGAGAGGCCCCTTCCCTCTTACGAGACTCAGAGAAAGATGTGGCTCCTATTCGAGTATCCGGAGAGTTCGCAAGGTGCACGCATCATCGCCATCATCTCCGTAGCCATCATCCTCCTCTCCATCTTCATCTTCTGCCTAGAGACCCTCCCCGAATTCAAACACTACCGCCTCTTCAACACCACCAACAACATGATCCGCGTCGTGGAGGACGAAGTGCCAAAAACTACCGACCCCTTCTTCGTCATAGAGACCTGCTGCATCGTCTGGTTCTCCTTTGAATTCCTAGTGCGTATAATCGCCTGTCCCAATAAACTGGTCTTCTTCAGGGACGTCATGAACATCATCGACCTGATGGCCATCATCCCCTATTTCATCACTTTGGCCACCGTGGTGGCCAAAGAGCGCGAAGAGAGGCTGGGCATTGCCCGTGAAACACCCCCGCCACAGAGCAACAACCAGGCCATGTCCTTGGCCATTCTCAGGGTCATCAGGCTCGTCAGAGTGTTCCGTATTTTCAAATTGTCCAGGCATTCGAAAGGCCTGCAGATCTTAGGCAGGACGCTAAAAGCCAGCATGAGAGAACTGGGACTACTTATCTTCTTCCTCTTCATCGGTGTCATCCTTTTCTCCAGTGCCGTTTATTACGCCGAAGCGGATTCCGAAAGATCTAACTTCAAGAGTATCCCCGACGCCTTCTGGTGGGCCGTCGTCACCATGACGACGGTGGGTTACGGCGATATGAGGCCCGTTGGGGTCTGGGGCAAAATCGTGGGTTCCTTGTGCGCCATCGCCGGTGTTCTAACAATCGCTCTTCCAGTTCCGGTGATCGTGTCCAACTTCAACTACTTCTATCATCGCGAGACGGACCAGGAGGAGATGCAATCTCAGAACTTCAATCACGTCACCTCTTGTCCTTACCTACCCGGCACGGTCGGGACCAAGATCAAGAGAGACTCCCTCAGCGAGTCCGGTTCCGACATCATGGAGCTGGGGGAGGGTGTGCTTCTCACTACAGACAGGTGTCAGCAGAAGAAGCCGAACTGCAATCCTCTTCACAACAACAATGTCAACATCGTTTCCATAGAGACCGACGTCTGAGGCCTTCTCGGGATTGCTGCTGCTGACCCGTATCCTTTGCCTCTAAAGGTAAGGCTCCCCTCCCTCCCCTTCCGGGCAAAGTTACGAAAATCACGCCGACCATCTCGTGCCGATCGATTTCCTTCCTTCCAGGTGAAAGAGGCCGAGGCCCGAGATTGGCGGTCGGCACGCGAGAGGGCGGAGGGGGTGGCCCGGGGGCGTTCCCCGGGCCGAAGAGGGCGACGCGCGGGAGAAGAGTCGGGCCGCGGGCTGGGCGCCGCTCGGTTCAACGAACATTTAATGAAAGAGGCGAAGAGGTGGCGACATCTGTCGCTGCCGCGCCGGAGAAGGGAACAATGGCGACGATTATCGACCTTCTAAATATAGACGTCCTTCTCCGGTATCCGCAAGGTGAAGCGCCGCCCGGTACCGTGGTGCGCGGCGACCTCCTCCTCCGGAAGGGGAGGAGCGCGCGCCCGAGTGTCAGGGAGGATCCTTAACGGTTGCCAGTAAGGGACTGGAGCCATATTGGTTTCGTCCCGAGTCTGCATCGAAGACGATAGGCACGCGCCTCTCCCGAGTCCACTGGGTATCGAAGGACGAGAGTCGAGACCCTCCATCACCATTCCTCTTCCTGGATTAAGAGTCGATCATCATCGAGAGTGTAGAAGTGGCTGTCGTTGGATCGAGAACGAAGGAATTACTACGTACGTGTCGTCGGCGGCGCGTTTTGTTCGTTTCCGTCTCCGTTTCGTGTGGTGTGGTTAGTTTATTCGCGACGACGCGCGACGACGACCCGGCGGGGGAGAGGCGGCGCCCACGTCACGAGTCGGACGTGTCCGGCAGCGCGCCAGTGGGGGTGGCGATCTCCCTCGACGGCGTCGTCTTACTTCGTGTTTCTACGTCTTCTCTTCCCTTCCCGACCATCTTCCATCGGCCGTTTGTCTCTTCAGAGGTGAAGATAACAAGATCCTTCTCACTTGGTTTACTGCTGCCACGTTTTTCACTTCGAACGAAATTTACTGTCATTGCGCACACGATACTAAATTTGTCTCTCTTCGCCGCACTTTCACTTCCGACTACGAACGGGTCTTCGACACAAAAGTAGCGACCGTTAACCGTTCTTTCTTAGCATTTATTACTAAACTCTCGTCTTTAATACTGTACGTCACACGCTTTCAGGTTCGGACTCCTTGCGCTCTCCTTGGCCGCTCTGCGTAGACCGGGGCGCTCTCTACACCCGACACTAGTTGCGTAGCGTATAACCGAGTGAATAGACAGACTCCGGGCCATGGCTTCTAGTTTCTCTACTACTAATCTACTTTATACTCTAGCCCCGTCGTTTCTACGTCTTTGTATACGTGCACGGTCGTAACCTCTGACCTTTAGTGGTGTTACTGGCCCGCCCTTACTCTCTAGCGCGGGACGAACTTAGCTCTTCTCTCCTCCTCTCCTCTTACGTCATCTAGAAGCGTAGCGTCGTCCCGTCCGACATCTAGAGGCAAGTAAGAGTGGGCGTTAGTCGCATCGACGGAGAGAGCCGGTCCGTACGCTTCCCACTCTCCCCTCTCTCTGTCCCGACGCCCGTTCATCTCCAGGAAGGGAGGGAGAAATACAAATCCAAGTGCTCTTAACAATCGAAATCCTCGGGCGAGGAAACCGCGCCTCGCTCTCTTTCTTTCTCCTCTTTTTTCTTTCCTCCTTGCCCTCGGCTCCGCCGTTCGACCCTCTCGACCGAGGCTTCTCCCTCCCTCCCTCCGCGCCAAGCGCTGGCTGCCGGGAAGTTTCTTTATCTTTTTTTTTTTTTTTTAAAGGCGAGTAGCGGGAGTGTTTCTTATTTATTTGTGTCTGGGATTTTTTTCTCGGCTTCTCCGACGTCTCTTCCCGTTAGCCCGGCCGTCACACGGGTGGTGGGCGCTCGGAAGCCCCGCCTCCGGAAGTAGTAGATACACAACACCGAGAGCGAGAGACGATCCGAATTCGAACGGTTGGAGCGAGCGCGACGGGCGCCGGGTAGCCCGCGAGCCCCGGCGCCGCGCTCAGATCGGGAAAGAAAGGCGGAAAGGATGTGGCCGCGCGGACCACGCCGTGGCGTGGCGGGGCGACCGTCCATTGACGATAAGTAGAATAACCGACTTTAGATAATCACCTTGTCCCATTTATTATACTTTAACTATAGTAATACTTACAATTAGTATTGTTACTAAGACTTAATTCTATTTTGCTGTTTGTCCAAATAAGGAAAATATATATATCACGTGAGATTAAAGTATCAAAATTACGTAGGGTAGCTTATATGAATTTACTCGATTTTTCACCAATTCTTAAATATGTAAAAACAATCGATACGGTCGGGAACGATTTGCAGAAGTCACACGCTCTCTCGCTCTCAGTCTCTCTCTCTATCTATCTATCTCTAAACTACTAAACTATATCTTTCAGCTGTTTTGCCCCGAGCCCGGCCCTTTACCCTTTGAGAAAAGAAAGGTCGTAAATTACAAAACAATGGAAGTCTTTGCTCACATCTTTGCTTAACTAAAATACTACGATTAATTCGAAACGTGTGCGTCTTTTGTGTGTGTGTGCGGATGCGTGCCTGAGTGCGTGCCTGTGTCGCGCTGGCCCTCCCCTTTCCACAAGAGGGACGGGAGGGCCAGCCGAGTCGAATGGCTTTCAAACTATCGGCGGATGAAGAGATATTTTCTTTACTACTATGCAGACGTTCGATTCATTCATTCATCATAATATATGTACAGGTAATTTTTTTCAGGTCTTACTTATTAGGTGCTGTAACAGGTTGTGATCTCTATCCAAACAAAAGAAATAAATAAATTAATCCTGTAACATATCTGGACTATAAATATTTAGAAAATTAACATTCATTTACCGAAATTCCCATATTTTTTCTTAGTTTCTCTTCGATCACCTTCGATGTATTATAATATTGATAATACATAATTATAATATTCTTTGTCTCCACACAAGGGCAATCGATGCATTGCAAGAAAACAAAAAAATATATAAAAAAAAACAAATTTCATGTTTAGATCTGAAATCCTCTCAAATACTCTGTAGATAACGGTCTGCAATAAAACTAAGTTTCGTTTTACCGACTCGTGTCTTCATTTATCGCCTCCTTACGCGCCCGAACGACACCTCGGGGTACCGGTGCGCCCGGCTTAATATGCAAACTATTAACTTCCGTAACAAAGGTGCGATTTTGTATTATTTTTGACGTTCCGATTGCACGTACGAACGCGTTCCGAGTGTGGAGGGTGTAAGAAGGTGGTGTTTCGTCACCCGTCGGTGATAAAAAACCGGACGAGAGTGTCCGAGTGGCATTTTATTCGTTTCGTACCGACCGAAATTTCCGCAGGAAAATAGAGCGCCGGATGATCGAACTTAACGGTAGGTGGAAATTAATTACGGTCTTTTACGTGAAGTTTAATTAGCCATTTTAACGGTCGACGACGATGTAAAACGTGTAATTTTTACACCGGGTTTTTCTTTAAAAGGCGCCGAGCGAGAACGCCGTCCGTAGTAGTAATGTTTGACGGTGAAATTCCGTTAATCCGGCACGATGCCGGTTTATGGGACGGCGGTAATTCTTCCCATCCCCTCCATTCGGTTTCCGATATCTTTGCCTGTCAGACAGAGTCGAAATTTATAAGGCCGCCGCTAACTTTCGCCACGTACATCCTCTCCGTTTCTTACGTCACACGTGTTCGACAGCTGCGTGGTCGTTTAGCCCGACGACGACGCGGGCCAGAACCTTAGCTCTACCCCGTTGCCAGTGGTGGCGGTTTAACGGAATTTCACCGTCCGCGTACCCGAGGGTTTCCTTCTTCCATTGTGTTTCGCTGGGTCAAATTATATTTCGACCATTGCCGGGCGTTAGAGACGGAGGTTATTTACAAATGGCCGTGCGACGAAGGGAGGAAGCGACGCAATTCGACCGTTTAATGGTTCCGGATATCCTTTCCGACCGCCACGTCCGACACGCATCGTCCGGTAAGATCTTCCGTTTTATTTCCTGCCGTCATTTGATTATTTATAATAAATATTCCTTTTAAATCCGATAAATCTTTAGCCAAATTCGGCGCGGATGCCGTTTCTACTCCGTCCGGGAGCCGCCTTCCCGACAGAAGAGAGGGGAGGAAGGTGAGTTTCTTTTTATTAACACTAGAACGAAGGGTTAAGATACAATCGAAAGTAACAGTAACGATAAAACGATAGAACGAACTTAGGATAAGAAATGAGGTGGCCTTTAAATGACGATTTGGCGGTGAATTTCGCTGACCTTTTGCCTTTTCGATCGATCCGCATCGGAATTTCCTTCCTGGCTGCTGCAGATCTCCAGTCGGGTTGTCTGTGGGTGAAATCCGTGTTGAAATCTGCTTCCGTTCGTATCTTATTTCGATTAAATCTTACCTCTTTGTCCGGGAAGATGATTCGTTTCTGGCCTCTCTGGCTGTCGTTCATGGAAAGTCCGCCGATCTGCAAATAATTCGATTTACTTAGTTTCTTAAAATTAAAAGGATAAAGGCCGACAATCTAATAATAAAATCTATACTCTTCGCTGCTATTTTTACACCGTTTTTGGCTGGGAACTGAATTCTTTTTTTTACATATTCTATCTTATTTCTTTAATAATAATTAAATTTATAAAGGCATTTTTACCTATCCGATTAGAATTTCGTACAGTACTTGGTAGATTGGTAGTGGGATCCCCGAGTGTTTTGTTCCGAAGTGGTTTGTAGATATTCTTCGTTTAAATATTCCATTTTAAGCAATATTTAGAAAATTATTTTATATGTCAAATAATTACGTAAATAAATAAAATAATTTTATTATTCGAAAGTTTTCCGGTATGTAATATACGAACAATACAATTTATTTAATTTAAAATTTAAGCTCTCTACTAACACCTTACGGGGCAAAGTTTTTAAATCGAAATAACGTGACTTCGTATGTACAGTACGTAATTTGCCCCTGCGCTTTCCACATCTGTCTCGAATTCCATTTACATAGAACCGTTCACGGGGTTAAGCAAAGGTCTACAATTTTTTCAAATTGCAACCCAATAAACAGTGTTTAACGCATTCGATAGGATAATTTATAATGTTTGTATTGTTCTATCGTAATTGTTTTGGCTGCCCTAATGACAACACGGCGATGCTCCGACTTCGATCGGAACGTGCACGGGTTTAACTCTTAAGCATTAAGAATAATCTTAGGCATTTCCGAGCATTTGTTCATTTCTCTATGATTTTCACCCAAGTAGTTGCGTTTTAATTTATTTGACGGAAGAAGCACTCGCATGTTTTTGAAATTAAAATGATGGATCCGATTTACAAATCTATAAGCTTTTCTTTCTTTATTTTTTTACTTGATGACTTTGTAAAATGCATTTCTGTAAATTATTTAGTGACTTACCAAATTCCATTTTATCTTTTATAATTATTTCAGATTTCAATTTAATTTTTCCTTAAATTAAGAAGGGGGAAGAGACTTTAATTTTGTCTCTACCTCATCCGTTCTCGGAAAAATTACACCTTTCCACGAACAGACGAAGTAAAGACGAAATTAAAAAACTTTTTCGGCACTTTCTACTACAATAAAACAGAACTTTGCTTTTGATATTGGAAGTAATTAAAGAGAGTGCGCGTCGTACATTGAAACCATTTTAAAGAATAATAATTTCTATCTAAACCAATGTTTTTCTAATCGAAGACCAATTCGTAAATGCTGTACAATAATATTTAAAACAAGAAATTGGCTTTTAACTTTAATCTAGTCTGGCAGAAGACGGGTTTTATTCTATTAAAATAGTAAGATGGCGACTAAAGTTTAAACGTAATGGGATCATTTGCATCTTCCAATGATTTATTATATAAGAATATACAGAAGCTATAGAATAGAAATTCCAAGATCTTTTGGTTCGGAGAATTAAAAATTATAATTTCTACCATGGCGTGAATAATAATTGAGCCGGAGCGGAATGCAATTCCCGAAAATTTTCCATCATTTTATATTCTGTTAGCGATTACGCTAATAAAAATATTTAATGCATAAACATTACGTAATGTGACGATACGTGAAATTACGTGTCACGAGAAAAACGACCAGTTTGATCATTTGTCTCGCCTATTATTCGATATAATCTCGTGTAGGTCAAAGTTTTCCCATACATTTGCATACGGCGCTTTATGACGCATTACGCGTGACCCCATTGACAGTTTGTCGATTGATATCGAACTCGGAGAAATATCGGTTTAAAAATAACTCGTCTCGAATTATTTTATTTTCGAAATGTATAAAATGAAATTCTTTTTTTTCAATTTTGAAGGAAATTGGGCGTAATAGACACTTAAACGCAACGGAAAACGATAGGAAGGCATTATTATTTACGTTAAGAATTGAAGTAAACCGAAATACGGCCCCGTATAACTTAATTATCATTAGTATTAGTTAAATTAATAACATTCGGGACCGAGGATTTTGTCATTAAATTGTCTTCGGTTCCTTACTATAGAAAATGTCGTCTCCACGGATGCCGGTTAGTAGAATTTTTATTTATAATTATTATAACTGAAGGTATAAAAAGAATTTAATAACATAAAATCTAGTAAGAATTTACTTCTAGCTTCTATAATTTTATGTATAATAGTATTTCGTCGGCTCCGTGTCGGTCTGTTGCATTATATTTGAGCATTAAAAGTGATTTTACTAGGTTAAGCCCAGTTAAATACGCTAACCGGAATTAGCCTTATTATTATTGTAGATTTACATATATTATTAATTGTGTAGAAAATCCAGAATATTGGCTCCCCAGATCTTGCCTAGCTACCTTATTACGATTTATTGTAATATATTTGTAGCCGAAACTTGAATTTTTAAGTAGCGAGAATATTAGTGATTAATTCTATTACGTTCTTTCCTCGTATTGTTTTAATGTGTTCCATTTTATATTTAAGCTTTTACTGCATCGCTGTCTCGGATTTTCCCTCATTATTAGGTAAAAGGAGGAGTGTTTTAAACGTTGATTTTATCGGCAAACTATTGTTAGCTGCGTAAAATGATTATAATTTATTTTCGTCTTCTATTTCCGAGGGCAAAACTCTGTAATTTTATAGTTTTGGGAAAGAATGTATTTAACGGGCTTATTTGCATACTTTTAGATCTTTTACTTATTCGCCGGCGTATTAATAATTTTATTAAGATGCGGATTGAGTACGACTTAATTTTTGTGGACGGTAGTGCCGGAGCAATGGCGCGAGTGGACAAATATTTTGAAAATGAAAATATTTACGAGTGGTTTAGTCTGTCGGTTGGCTCAATTTAAAGGAAATAATCTACGTAATCCACCAGGAACCTTCTGTCGACTATTATCGATCAATCAATTTGTTCTTAACGCTTGTTACAGTGTCTGCTTATTTATAAAGGGTAACGCTTTACTGCTTAAATTTCGTTTTGCCGTATTCTCTTGCATATTTTTAAATAATGACAAATAAAAATTCAGTTCTTTTTACGTCGAGGACTATAAGGTAAGGTCACTTAAGAGTACGCATTTTCTCGATTTTGCCCGATACTCTACCGAAATTTTTACTCTTGTCGCGAATGTTGCTTATTTCGGAGTAAAACGTGGGACGGACGACGGAATTAAAATTTGCGCTCTTACGTAACCTTATCCTGTTTGATCGTAACTTAAGAATGGCTTATAAAAAGCTAAAATGTGTAATAATCTAATTTATTTTAAATATTCTGTATTCCTACATCTTTTATGCCGATTCGCGATGCAATCAGTATTCATTTCACTCTAAATATGTGAATGTTCCTTTACTTGATTTCTTGTTATGGATATCATTCTGTCAACCTTCGAATTAAATAACTTTTTAATTTTTAAATGTTTCAGAATTTAGATTTGGCATTTAATTTCGATAAATAACAATGCCTTATAATATTTATTAGTATTGTGTTTATTATAATTTAAGCAGTCAAAAGTTAATTTTTCTGTAATTCTATGTCCCTCTATTGTTTCTAAATGCGTTCTCGTTTTGAAAATATTCAATTGAATTAATTAATATTGTAGATAAGTACTGTATAATATTAT